TTTATATAAGGTTAGTGGGAATTGGCACCCAGACCACTCCAATGGGCAGAAGTGGTCTGGGTGCCTGGAGTGTCCCTTTAAGTAAATACTGATTTATGGAATTCAAAGGGATATCTCCCTGAAGATTATATAATTTTCCATACTAATCATTAAAACAGTACCCGATGTCATTAAGGTTTATACAAACTTTGTATTGATAAACAATCTTTGTTATATGTGAATTTGCTTGTTTTTTTCTGAGCTTGTTAGGAGTCAGTTTTTTTTATCCCCTGTAGTAAAATTCAAGTTTTAATTTATTCATGTTTTTTGAAATTATTTTGTTTATGCATTGATTGATTTTGTCTGGTATAACCACCATTGTGCTTACTCTGTCAGGTGAGGGATTTATTTTATTATCTGCAGAGAGTTTATATAATGAGATTCATAAAGCCGATACATTTTTATATTAGTCACGGTTCAGTTTAATCAAATCTCCTTTCAACGCAGCTTTAAAGGCACACCAGGTATTCCAAGGTGATGTGTCTGAGGGGTCATTCTCTTTGAAATTGCAGTCAATTAACTTTTCTGACTTATCTGTTTTTTAAACAATTTATCTATTATGCAACAAGTAATTATTTAGTTTCCATGTAGTTCTATTTTTCATCGGGAAACTGTGTTTTGTGTCAAACAGAATGATGACCATGTATTGTAAGTAGTGATGTCCCAAACGGTTCGCCTCATCATTGAGTAAACTTTGACCCTGTACCTCACAGTCAGCAGACACATTCCAGCCAATCAGCAGCAGACCCTCCCTCCCAAACCCTCCCACCTCCTGGACAGCATCCATTTTACATTCATTGTGAAGTTGGATTCTTAGTGAGCTGTCCAGGAGGTGGGAGGGTCTGCTGCTGATTGGCTGGAATGTGTCTGCTGACTGTGAGGTACAGGGTCAAAGTTTACTCAATGATGAGTCCGCGGTGAACCGTTCGGGACATCACTATTGATAAGTTTTATATTCTTCAAATTATCGATCAAATTCAAGTTGTCTGAGACCATGTCGATTCTAGAGTATGTAAAATATACTCTAGACAGGTGTGTATAATCTCTAAAGTCTGGATAAAATACTCACCAGGCATCAAAGAGATCGAAATTATTAAGAGCGTTAGTGATCTAGAGTATTTTATTACTTTGTTATTTACAACCCTCCCCTTAAGGAGTTTCTTGTATTACATGGTCAAGAGCACAATTAAAATTGCCAGCCACGATATACAGGTGATACTCGAAAAATTAGAATATCGTGCAAAAGTTCATTTAGTTGAGTAATGCAACGTAAAAGGGGAAACTATTATATGAGATAGATGCATTACATGCAAAGTAAGCTAGTTCAAGCCGTGATTTGTCATAAGTGCGAAGATTATGGCTTACAGCTCATGAAAACCCCAAATCCACAATCTCAGTAAATTAGAATATTACATGCAATCAATAAAACAAGGAGTGTACATAGAACAGTATCGGACCTCTGAAAAGTATAAGCATGCATATGGACGCAGTACTTGGTTTGAGCCCCTTTTGCAGCAATTACTGCCTCAATGTGGTGTGGCATGGAAGCTATCAACCTGTGGCACTGCTGAGGTGTTTTGGAAGACCAGGATGCTTCAATAGCGGCCTTCAGCTCTTCTGCATTGTTCGGTCTCATGTCTCATCTTTCTCTTGGCAATGCCAGGTCAGGCGAGTTTGCTGGCCAATCAAGCACAGTAATCCCACAGTTACTGAACCAGGCTTTGGTGCTTTTGGCAGTGTGGGCAGGTGCCAAGTTCTGCTGGAAAATGAAGTCAGCATCCCCATAAAGCTCGTCTGCGGAAGGAAGCATGAAGTGCTCCAAAATCTCCTGGTAGACGGCTGCGTTGACCCTGGACTTAATGAAGCACAGTGGACCAACACCAGCTGATGACATGGCTCCCCAAATCAACACAGACTGTGGAAACTTCACAATGGACTTCAAGCATCTTGCAGTGTGTGCCTCTCGATTCTTCCTTCAGACGCTGGGTCCTTGGTTTCCAAATGAGATGCAAAAGTTGCTCTCATCAGAAAAGAGGACTTTGGACCACTGAGCAACAGACCAGGGCTGTTTTTCTTTAGCCCAGGTAAGACGCTTCTGACGTTGTTTGTTGTTCAGGAGCGGCTTGACAAGAGGAATACGACATCTGAAGCCCATGTCCGGGATCCATCTGTGTGTGGTGGCTCTTGATGCACTGACTCCAGCCTCAGTCCGCTCCTTCTGAAAGTCCCCAACACTTTTGAATGGCCTTTTCCTGACAATCCTCTCCAGGCTGCGGTCATCCCTGCTGCTTCTGCTTATTCTTCCACCCTTTTCCCTTCCACCTAACTTTCTATTAATGTGTTTTGATACAGCACTTTGGAAACATCCAACTTCCTTCGCAATTACCTTTTGAGGCTTTCCCTCCTTATGAAGGGTGTCAATGATGGTTTTCTGCACAACTGTCAGGTCAGCAGTCTTCCCCATGATTGTGATTCCTACTGAACCAGACTGAGAGACCATTTAAAGGCTCAGAAACCCTTTGCAGGTGTTATGGTTTACTTAGCTGATTAGAGTGGGACACTGTGAGCCAGGGGAGGGCTGGCAGCCTTAGGCCTGGGGGGCAAAACCAGTCAAGTGGCCCATTGCACCACCAAATCAGTTCACCATCCATGCCCACCTGGTTTTATAATGGATATTGATGTTATGCTAATCAGTAGCTCTTTGCCATACCCGCTCCTTCACGGCTCTGACTTTCAATGTTGTCAGAGCACAGGCTGAGAATCTCTGAGCCTGTGCTCTGACTCACTAACTGAGCGTCAGAACCATGAGGGAGAGGATATAATCTGACTGCACCTACTGCTGGTGCGCACCAGTGGACCACCAGCGAATCATTTAAATTGAATATGCTGGGGTCCCCAACTTGTGAGCTGTGTTGGCCGCCGGGCTCCTCTGTTGACATGGCACCCTGCATGACCACACAGCTTGCACACCCCAACAGCTGGCCCTGCTGACACATACTGATGTTACTACTTAGAAATCCCTCAATATTAATACAGACATCAGAGTAAACACCAATAAACTGTGCAAACAGAGCTGATCCCCCCCAAAGATTTGCTTAATGGATTTGTTGTAAGATTAAATCATGCCTCCTCCTCTCCCTCTCCCATGCGCTGCGCTGTATGCTGGGAGGAAGTGAAGAGTAATCACATTCTCTCAGCACAGCGCCACCTGTGGCTGCATGGGGAACAGCTGTTTAATGTAATGCTTGCAGGACGGCCACCTGCCGCAGAACCTCTTAGTTCCCATCGCTGCAAAGGGCTCCAGGCACTGCTTGCTGTGAGTGTGAGCCACTGTAAATTAGGGGCAGAGGGCACCTGCACTGCAGTAAAGACAGGTCTGGGCAAGAGGAGAGTGCAGTGCAATCCCCTCCTGTGGGTCACCAGTAGACTGGTGCACCTGCCCAGGATCAGAGCCGGTG